TCACTTAGGGTGTTCATGACAAAATGCCACTATTTTTAGCTGTCAATGAAAGTATCTTTTAGGTTACACTCGAAGAAATAATATTAATAAAATGCTCTTATTTCCATTTTTAGGCTCAATTTCCACTGGTCTCTCAAGTCTGGTCTACTAATGTGGGCTCCTTTCCTGAAAAGTAGTTGGTAATCAAGCCTATTCTGTATTAAGTGGTGCATGTATCTTTTAAGCGTCAAATAAAGCTTGAGCCACACCCAGATTGGTCTCCTTTTAGGGGTTTAATTCAAAATTTCTGACCAGCATCCCCAACCCTTTCATACAGGAGTCTCCTCCAGGAGTAAAATGTTAGTTTTTTCAGCTACAACTGAAATTTCCTGGTGAAATTACCAATATCTTGTCCTTCCTTGGCTGCCTCAGACAGGACATCTCTTAGACAGGCAACATCTCCAAATCCAAGATTGACACCTTGCCCTGCCAGGGGATGTACTCTATGGGCTGCATCACTGATAAATAAAAATTCAACAAATATCACTTAATTCACATGCAATCTAATCAATCATTAAATTAATTCTGGTGACAGATATCAAAGGTAGATCTAATTTATTGGAACAAGAAAGGGCCCATATTGCCATATCCTCCCTCTCTCTTTCAAGCAACTCTGGATCTGCTACAAGACACAAGGGGGGTTTATATAAAAAATAAAGTAATTTTCAGTGATGATCTCACCCAATCAAAGCCAGTCTTGGTCGGACATATTCTGTTGCATGACCAAAGCCATATGGAAACATGGCCCTGCTTCCTTCCTTGACACCATTCACACTGGGAGGAGACTGGGTTCCAGATCCTACATCTAGATAATAAATGAAGATAGCAATGTATAAGCTATGTGTGGTTTATGGTGTACAGTAGATCACCTGTCTCATAAATCTGTTTTTCACAACAATGAAGATTTAGCCTCTAGTTCACATTTCAGGCTTGTCTTGTGATCATTCAAGAGGCATTTTTACCAGTCTAATGGTTGAAAATAAAACACAAAGTTCTCCTTTGCAATTTCCCTAGCCAACGTCCAGAACTTGCTGGTCTTAATTGTTTATAAATAACAGGTTATGTCTCTGACTCAACAGATAAGTCAGAACTCTTCATCTGTTTTAGGCTACAGTATGTGCAAGAATTTAGTGCTTCATGGCAATGTACAGTCAGACCTCCTCTAGCGAACGTCTCCTATACTTTCCATAAGTGACCACTTAGTCATGATTACCCCCTCATGATAGGTACAGACACTACTAATTTATCACAATAAAAATTTGTACTCTGCCATAAGTGGGCGGTTCATCTGTTTTCAGTAATGACATCCCTCGTAAGGAGAGCTAGGAGGTTGAGAACCCAAACTTGCATACTCACTTGTCCATGGCTGAATGAAAGAAGCTAACAGGTAGGACAGTCTTGTTGCCTGATCCACAAGAGGATGACGATCAAAGTCCTCCCACTGTTTAAGAACAGCAATAACGTGAATAATAAGC